AAATTTTTAACTTTTGTCTTCAGGAAGGTCAGATCAATTTTGAACTCACCTTTCCAACCTGTATAACTATCGAAAAATTTGTTTATCAGTAATTCTTTACAATAGTTTTGGACATTGATTAACACATTTGACATATACTCAAAGGAATTTTGAGAAACGTGCAAATATATATAACGTTCTTTTCGCTCTTGATAGACGCACAGTAAGATATACCATTAATGAAACCAGATAGGACATTAAAGATTTGGTATATGGCGTCTGTTTACATCATAAAGAAGGGATTACGAGGACATTCTTCCAAGGAAAGTAACAATAAAAGCCTTAAGTATAGAGCAGAGTCAACCTGCTAACCGTTCAAGCTGCTACATTTTGATTAGAGAAACTATACAGTTATTGATTTTAAGTTCGATGATAAAGGGATTAGACCATTTTCGGGATAATCATTAGCTTCGCTGTTTCTTTGCTTAGCTTATTTGCAGGTTCATATCGTAGGAACGATGCGTGGGCGTTTTTGCGGAAGCACTGCATTGGGAGCTCAGGCGTTGAGTGACTACTGATAATGTTATTTTAAAACAATTTTTGACTTAAGTGTATCGGCTTTTCTAGTTGTAAGACAACACGTCGCCTTTCTTCGTGATAGCTTAGCTAAGCTAAGTGCCCTCCTTATGAGCAGTCGGCCGACACCCTGGATAAAAAAATTAAACACATGCCAAGCATTTATTCTCCCTCTCAAAGGCGTCTGAGCCTAAAAATAGGCCTTGCGTTTCTTACGGCAAGTGATCGAATAATTTCCTCGGTAGTGAATCAACGCTCGTTTGATGTTCGATACGACGATATTTTGAGTCTAATGTAATGTAATGACTTTGATTTTTATGTTACCATAGAGAAAGCACATTAAGAAATCTATACATACTACAAGTAGGAATTACAATGTCATTTAGCCAGAAACGTTTCACGAGTGCCTGAAAAGAGTTTAATGCCTTCACTTTACTCTTATGCTAATACAATTAAGCATAATGGTAGCATTAGGCGGTATTACATATACAGTCTGAACAAGTGGGTAACAAAATTTGCTCGTTCCGCAATGTTTGCAGTTTTTAGCCATTTCTAATGTATTGCAGAATGCTTTCTGGCTGCTAATATTTTCAGTAGAAACAACAAGGAATAGAATGCATTAAAATCAACGCAATAAAGAATTCTGGCCATCTTATTAGCTTCCTTTTCTTTTTAAATGCTTTAATGGTTTCGCAAATTTTCCGCGGGTCACTAGTTTTTCTTAAATCATTTCCAAAGTTCACGTTACAGACAGTCGGCGTCAGAAAAAGAAATTCAATGGCTTGCTTTGACATCTACTTCTACTTAATACCTTGCGTGTGTGCATTTTTGGTACGTACAAATCTTGTTTACGACATGTCACTCCCGCTGAAGTGCACGGAGAAAATGTATCACAATTCAACAAACTGTTTCACCTATACACTAACAAATTGGTCTCAACAGTACGTGATTGGAACGAGTTTTGATTTACTTTCTGCGCATTGTATACAGGAAACCCCTAGGTTTTGGCGAAACCACTCGTTTGATGATTTGAGTAACTCTGAACGTGTGCCAACCGCTAAGGAACACTTAAGGGCGTGAGCACAAGTTCACCTCGGAAACCTGAACTTAACATGCATGCACTATCTTTGACTGCTCTTGCCTTGAACATAGTCTTAGCAATAATTTTCAGCAGCGCAGGAGAAGGAAGGTTACATGAAAACGCAGTTCCAATCATTTCTATGGCTAAATTGAGCGCAGGCAAACTATGCCGTTTTTCCCCTCAATTTTGGTCTTTTTCATTTCGATTTGTTCTAGAATTGCGCGCGATTGAAATTGACCCTACAGACCCACCCAAGGTCACAGATGTCACAGCAACTGAAAGAAGGATTTCGTCAGCTAAACGATCTCAATGCAGCACCAGACCTAGCCTTACAAGATTTAGACGAGGAATGCGCAGGTTAACAGGGAACATGGGAGTTAAAAAATGTACAAGACTGAACTGGTGGGCCTTTCTGCACAGGATTTTCGGAAAAATCCATCCAATTCGAGTTTTTGCTCTCCCGTTTTTGAAGAAAGTCTTGAATTTCAGTCCGAGACTCCTGACTCACGGAAAGGAAATCATGCTGGTTGAATGCAGTCCGACGGTTGTCGGAAAAGAGGGCTCAGACTATTGTTTTCTTCTCATTGTCTAACTCCTCGAATGAAAAAAGATTAACGATTTATTATAAATAAAATTTATAGTTCAGTTAATTGACGATTGATCTCAAATTCTCAGCTTACGTGTCTCTCTTTTCAGTAGCCGATGTAAGATTACCAGAATACCATTAGCTAAACTGACAAAAATTCTGAGACATCCCTCATCGTAACAATACCCTTAAAGCCGCTTTATGCTACGGAAACCAGGATAAGCTCCGTTTGATGAACTACTTGGTTATTTGAAGACGTAATCCTTCATGGGACAAATTGACTAACACTGTTAATCGAATTGCCTAGAAATCTTCAGAAAAGATGCTATTAAATTCCTTTAGATATCAACTTCTTTCTTTACTTTGAGGTTAACCATTTAAACACCTATACCCAAGGCGCCGTGAAAGAAAAAAAAAACCGTTTGTAGATTTAGAAGGGTGTCTTTACTGCACACCCTCAAATTCCAAGACTGACCGACATGTTAAAGCTTTGAAATTTTGAAATTCCAAGCTAAATCCGTTTTAAGTACCTTTAACCAAAAATAAACAAATGTGGGTCGCTGATTGTCGATGTACATGTAGTTAATGATAAACTATCCGCAACATGTCAGGAGACATTTCACTTTGTCGAACATTTTCCGCATTGGCAAAGCAACATTGTCTGGTGCTTTGTTAAAATTGTTTGCTCAGAAGTACATTAACAAACCAAAAGGAGACAGACAGATTATTTTGGCTGCTGAAAATTTTTCTGGGCAATGTGCAACCACCACACAGTGCGCGTATCTCTCAAAGCAAATGGATGTTATCTGTCGCTAATCTAGTGTTTTACTGTAATGATTTTGGCAAGTTTCTCCATGACCCAGTACAAACTCGTGAAACTATTTAAGCAATGCAACCTCTAAAAAAGTTTATTTGCGAGGGGAAGCTTTATTGAGTTACACATTTAAAATGGTTGTTTGTCAATTACTAAACACCCACGCACAGACATAGCAGGAAATCGATTCCGTTGACGTTTGTTTGCGGAAGAGGTTAAAAGAAAAGTTTGTTTGCGCTCACAAGCCATAACATATGGTAAATTTAAACTAAGAGTTTGCAGCTGTTTTCAAGTTTTAATCAGTCGATGCTTCGCCATAACGCTTTCCATGATTTGTCACTCCAATTTCGACTATCTATTAAAAAAAAACCTTTCTTATGAACAGATACAAAAGCGCGTGCTCCTAATATTAGTATCTATGCAGCTGATTCAAAAATAACAAAATTCAATATAAACGTTAAGATTTTGCTGGAAGCCTCTGGGCTTTATGCGATAAAATAGTTTATCTCATCATACAATCAAAATTTAACCGTGTAATTATTTTTAGGTACGGCGGCAAATAGTCCCCTAAAAGCTGATAATTTCGTTTTGCCTTTCCAAGGTGATTAGTCTACAGATGTAAAACTGATTGACAAGCTTAGGGAAATGAGTGTGTTGCAACCCAAAGTGCATGTAATTTCCAAACCAGTTTAGTAACAGTGGATGAATAATTCATACCACAACCAACATTTTCTACTTTAGTACTTTGCATTTCCTTCGCACTGAAAGAGTATTTACTACCTAAAACTCCTGCATCCGTGAACTAGAAACATGACCCTCGAAGTCTTCGCTAAATCGCGTACAGGCCTTATAGATAATGGCTCGCTAAAGAACCCTGTAGCCAATTTTTCTTATCTTTGTGGGCGATTTTATAAGCTTCTGTGGGAAGCGAAAGACATAAAATTTTATAGAATTATAAATTATAAAAAGACGTGCGCAGGAATTCACTCCCCTGGTCACGAAACACTCATCAAATCTATACTCAAAAATTGCCCGGCACGTATAACACTCGAACGCATTGCATTTCTGTTTGACGAGGCTTTAAATCAAACGGTCATCAAGATCCTACATGGGTCAAGAATTTCCACCTTAAAAGTCGTTTTTCAGACATTTAATGCAGAGTAGTTCGAATTAGTGCCATCATCTGCTAAAGTTGGGGTAAGTGTTGGAATCCGGAGTATTAAGATTCCTCCAGTCTGATTTTGTGAACATGTATCTATTAGCACTGACATCGTAGCCTGATGAGATTTGTAAAATGATGCAGGCTGATACCAGCTCTGACCTCTTTTCATTAGTGGGGTTTAAGCTTACAAGAGCCTATTTTGAATAAAATATCGCTAATTCCTTAATCTCTGGGGACCTATCATTATTCGTTTAGTCGCATTTTGCCATGAAATTTTCAACAATACGCCGTTTGCATTGTACCTTGGTGACAAAGAAATATATTTTCCTATTAACATCAAAGATGAATGTGTTGACAGTCAAAGGCTGTACACTATGACAGGCAAGAGAAATAATAAACTGATTTTAATGAGATTAAAGAAAACTGGCAACGACCTGTTGATGATAAGGGGAGTGCAGTGTTTAGCTATCACCTCCCAAACTATTAGCAGACATTCTCGACAAATAATACGACCAGTTACCCAACGAGTGCGGCGGGTAATGGGATGAGTAGGAAATTTCAAGAACCGGAAATTGCAATCACCTCTTGATTGAGAGATTAGTGGTTTATATGGTTAGCCCTGTCAAAATCAGCTCGCCGGTGAAACACTTCCAAGGAGATCAAGAGGCCTGCACAACAATATAAAGACAATAAATTAGACATGTGATCCGATGAAAGGTTGCGTACATGTGATTGGTCAATTCATCGGTTTATTGACAGCCTTTGCGCTTGTGTACAATCCTCTTTGTTAAAATGCTTCGATCTCACGAGGTGGTAATCAAACTGTTTCCTGCGCTTATGAGCTTATGAGCTGTGCAAACAGGTTTTGTGTTAATTTTCCAACTCATCGTCATCAGACCAGAGCACTAGTCAATGCTCGTGCTAAAATGGCCGGATTTTCCTGCAGCGCAATTTTAGCACTCTATCTAACCGCGATAACGTTTCCTGAAGGAGACGCTCTGAGCGTGAACCGTGGTAAAGCTACTACATCGCCTAGTAGTAACACGTCGCTAGCACATGTTAAAACTCCGACTTCAATTCCCACTTCAAATGGATATGTGCAAGATCAGAAACCGACCGCCAGTGGAAACAACGACCTATATTCCGAGGATTCAGATATGTACAAATTGAGAATCGAGATTATCAAAGCCAAAATACTTAAAAAACTTCAAATGGACAAACAACCAGTCGTCCACATAGAAAAAACAAAGGACAAAATGATCGCAGACCTTCTTTTAAGTTTAAATCTTATTGATATGAATGACGATGACAGTGAAACGGGAGAGTACGAAGACAGAAAGTATGACAAGACGAGCAAACTCATTGTTTTCGGCGAAAAAGGTAAGTGGAACAATTTTGCGTGCTCTAAGGGGTAGATACGAAGTCGCATTTTGTCATGTTTCTCCACAGATTATTTCCATCAAGGTCATGGTCCGGCTTTCAAGTTTTGCCTTTGTTTTCAGGACGTTTTGATACCGGCATGGTCAAGAGGGCAGCAGTTAAAATATTTCAGCATATTTCTTGTCAATTCACTCGTCACCGCAGACAGCAACAGAGCAAAGTTCAAGAGCTAATGTTGCAACAACTTCATAATTACTCAAAATGCTGCCTTGACGTTCTAGATATTAGTTCTCGGCACCTCATGCGGTGTTAACTGAAATAACGTGTTTTGTTTTGAATTCTGCTTCTAAGTTAATGGTCATTGTGTTACGAACATTAGGAGGCGGAGTCGCTCTATATGTCCTTTCACAACCGCTCAGAGAGTGCTTTGGAAATTGTTTTAGTCCTGTCACGTAGGTTTATAGCAAAATATGGAGGGAGAGAGAACCAATTTTCGTCATTCCTTACTTCATTAAAGCCTTGCATCGGTAGCTTGTAGTTTATCTTCAACTAAGGACACGGAATCTTAGAAACATGTGCCATTCTACCATCTCACATTATCAAAATTATCCAGACAGTACCTATGAAAGAATGTCAAACTTTATATAAAAGGAGGGGCACTAGGAACAATTGGTATTAATTCAAACAACAGTTAATAGCAGGTGAAACAATAGGATGCATGCAAATAATCAAAACCTTCAATGTTTTCATATTTGACAAGTATGTGGTATACAAACGTTCTAAAGAGGCATACAAAAAAAATTCACATGGACTAGCTTTAATTTTTTCGCTGCTAACTGATCGGTGATCAAATATCCCTTCTAATTATTACTTACTTTCTTTCTCTTCAATTTTAGCTAAAGTTTCACCTTCGAAATCAAAGCGCAAATTTTCCGAGAAGTTGATTTTCCAGTTTAGAATTGAGCCAAAATCGCTGTCCAGTTTAGTGCCCTCTGCGTTTCTGTGGGTTCATAAACGGAAAAGCAGACAACACGAGCTAAGGAAGAAAACACTTCACATTTATGCACGTGACAAAGAGTCAACCAGAGGCACCTCCAAAGTACCAATCCGCAGAACGACGAAGACCAAGTTAAAATCAAAACGAACTGGCTCAGGATGGGAAATGATAGACGTGAAAGAAATCGTTCGGCACTGGTTTAACAAGACAGCTAATCAATACGATGCTGGCAATGGTACTGGCAATGGAACCGACAATGGCGTACAGGCCTTAGAAATCTCTTGCCTGGACTGTGATTCGAACGTTAGTCAGCTAATCAACTCGCGAGGCAGACTACGGCCATTTCTCGTTATCGACTTAGAGAAGCCAAGAACACTGAAGAGGAAAAAACGCGAAGATAACGGATGCCCTGCCGGGCAAGCAGTATCGTGCTGTCGCCGCACTTTTTACGTGGATTTCGTCAAAATTGGCTGGGATTGGGTAATACATCCGCAGGGATTCTATGCCAATTTCTGTGAAGGTTCTTGTGACAGTCTTCATACGAGAGTTACTAGTGAACGAGCCATCATACTGCAAGAGGCGGCAAAAAAAAACCTGGGTCCACCTGCTTACACTGGTAGTTGTTGCTCCCCCACAAAAATGTTGCCCTTTTCAATGCTGTACTGGGACGATGAGTATAACATTGCAAAAAAGGACCTACAAGATTTGAAAGTTAAAGAATGTGGCTGCTCTTAAAATGCAAAGGAAGACATAAGTAGAGCCATTGACATCCGCAGACGCGTTTAGCTTATTGAGTTTGAAGGTAACAAGGCTGTTTGAAAGTTAGCTATCTATTTTTGAAGCAAATTTTTTGACGTGGGATGTTGGATGTTTAGATTTAAGATGAGAAAAAAAAAAAGGTGACTTTAGTCTTCATATATAAATTCCTCAAAAGAGTACAGAAGAGAAATATGATAGCCTCTTCAATACCCCGAGGCATTATACCTCTGAAGTGATGATTTTATTGGTTTTGATACGTAAATACCTTGATCATTTAACCTCTTCGAATTCACGTAGAAGTGCAATGTTGCTATTTGATATCGAGCTTAATGCTCATCTAGGGCTTTGATTTATTTTTGCACGCTAAAGAAACAAACATAACTGATAGAGTAGAGTATTTAAGACGATGAACTGACCCCTTGTAGCGCCACGTGTATGATGCCCTTCGATGGACATAAACTATTGTGATGTGATAATTTGCTAATTCCGGTGGCGCTGCGAGATAATTCGGGTGTTGATGTCCATCTCAATCACGCCTATCTTAATACCAAATTGAAACTGGAAATGGCAAATTTATCATACAAAAGAACAACTGATCATCGGCAAACAAGGGATATATATACATGTATGTTAGGAATGACGCTCTGTGGGGTTGTCTGAACATTGAGGTCTTCCATATGCAAAGCATTGCGGAAAACCATTACTAAATGTATCACTTTGCATGCAAAGTAGGTTTCTAAAACCATTGTTTAAGGATGGTTGAAAAGACAAATTGAAAGCAGAAGACTAAATTAAAGGGAGCTCACGAAATAATTTAGGATAAGCAATATCAAAACCCTGTTGATCAACACTGATTGTTGCGAAATAATTGTTAGACCGGGAGTAAGGGAAGGGGGTTGGTGGCTGACTCCTAACATTGAAATTCTCCGTCTGAAATACTACCTAATTCAAGTTTATGGTTCTTAATTCGGTAGCGGTTTCATATCATTTGAGAAGGAAGGGCTAACAAATTTTTTTCAGGTGATAGGTGGTTAATACCCCAAAGTTCAGTAACACTTCCCCAACCAACGGACCTTTGCGAGGAAACCGTCTCCCTATGAAAGACAAAGAACCCAAGTCTAACTTAGAGAAATAAATACTGTGATATTTTAAACAGCCTCATTTCTTCCTGAAACCTGGCACTCAAGTGCTGTTTAATATGTTCTTAAATGCAAGGTAAAAATCTGAAAGTAGTTCTGCATTATACTACTATTAACTCACTTGTTGTGCGCTCAAAAAAGCGGCCGGCGGAATGATTTGAAATTTTTCGTAAATTTAGAGAGTATATAATGTGGCACAGCCGTTTGAAAAAGACTTTTTGTAAGGTAACTTGGTGAGATTTTCTGCGACGAGTGTGTTAGTTTTTTTTATTTTAGACCTGTGAGGCAACTTAGAATGTTTAGTAGGCAAGAAAAGCACACGATTTTTCAATAAAGTATTGTTTTCATCCCATAGATTCCACAAACATTTATGTTTTTCTTAACGAGGGGTAATTAGTATATTTTGGGAAGCAATGGATACCCAATTTCAGACCAGTGGACGGTCTCGTTGAAAAATTCTTTTTTAAATGCAGGGAGGGGAAGAGAATCTTTTAGTTCCAAATTATCTATAAGAAGGAGAAAGAAAGTCAAACTAAAAGCAGCTTTCACGCCGAATGGCTTAACCTAATTAAGTCACATTCAGCCCGAGCTCTATATACGAGAACATCTGCACTCGATTGTCATTACGTAATAGAATTCGTGTAAGTAAAATCCTGACATTCGGAGCCAAATACCAGGAATGTAACCGAAAAAGAATTGGATATTTCGCCCCATTCGAGTGTTTCTAAGTCTTCAGTGAGGTTTTTAGGTCGAGTATGGGCTATTTAAACGGTTTTAAGTTCCTCCGCTTTTTTATATACATATATTTCCCAACACAAATCTTGATATTCCTTCTGTTGCGTAATAAAAAAGTACCGAAAGGTTTACTCATACATCGAAGTGAAGCTTCCTGTCGTTCAGTTGCAAAGGAAAAAGCGCTTTGAAGAAAGAGCGTCTCTACATACTCCAGTAAGCAATTTCCTCCCTCCCTAAAATGTATGCAGAATAGGGAGTAGGTCCACTGAATTTTCAAGCCAAACTACGCTCGTTAAGACGATTGGGTGGGGTCAACACCCAGAGAGGTGCTGTAAAAGCTTGTTGTACGGACAGTTATCAGGAACCCAAAAAGATCAATCGTCACATTAGAACAATGGCAAAACTCCCCTAATAACGCAAATGAAACACATGAACCAGTACGTGCCCCATGGGGTACACAAAAACATCACGTCCGATAGTCAGACGTTTGCCCTCAGCAATGTTTTTCAAATCCAGCAAAGTTGAAGTCGTCAAAGGTCACTAAAAATTTACTGTTGATGAGTGTCATATGAGAAGAGTTCGTTTCATTTACCAGATAACATTTAAATTCTTTAGGATCACCCTGGGAAAAAGTATCAAATTGAAATTTAAAACTGAATAGTTCGGCGGGTGTCGGAGAAAAATGTAATGTTGGATGTTTGCTTTTGATGTTCTTGAAATTCTTTTAAGAACTTAAAATAGTACCAGATTCTCTAAGAATAGACTTTCCAGGTGCTTAGTTAGTAAAACTGAGGGATATAAAAGAACGGGGCAATAGTGGTAGCAGAGCCCAGAAAAGGAAGTAGGTTTGGGTCGGGTCTTGACTCGACCCAAACCTCCCCTGTTTTTTCGCCAAGTCGCTACCATCGCGCCATTTATTATCAGGCTTCATTTTATCGATTGAGCGCTCGTAACAGGCTACAGAGAGAAGAAGGAACAACTTTTTCTTCTAAAAAAGAAATCATAGGATTAAAAACGAACTCGGAATAACGACTTATCCAGCATTTTGATATGAGATGAAGACGGTGTTTAGCGAGGGGGTGGGAATGGGGGCTCTCCTAATTTTCTTACAATTCGGGTCATGGATATTTTGCGATCTAACATTTGCTTGAAGAGAATTACTTCAGTTCAGTATGGTAATAGAACGACAAAAGAAGAAACCAGCTAAATGAATGACTAATTGCTCAATGAAAGCCAGGTGGCAATCGCCATGAGATAGAAGGGAACTCTTTTGGCTTTTCTCCTATTTTTTTTTCTTTTGCTCTAATTTGATCGATGCACGCCGTTGGAATTGTCTAGGTGACGTTTGCGGTCCAGCCAGGACTACATGACTAATCTGATTATGAAAAAACTGGCTTAGAGGGAGAGACTATTCATTCGTACTGAGACTTTTGCTTTGCGTCGACCAGGAAGTGAAACAATTGGTTGCTTACTAACCGTAAATCCCTAGCAACGGGCTCGAAGAATGGTCTCCGAGTATTCCGGTTCATTTGTGTTTAAGGCAATTTGTAATAACTTGCCCTTTTTGTGATAGGTTCTGCAGTATTTTGTAACAAGGGCGAGCTACGCATTTTGTAGTGAGGGCAGCGGTATTTTGTAATAATCGTCGAATTTCTCGAATTTTGCAACACAGTATTATTTCACAGATTAGGTATTTTCGGATTCCCTCCTGCGAATAGTAGTTTGTCAAGCAGCAGTTCGTCGGCGTTTGAAAAAATAAATGGACACATCAGTGATAAGTCCCAGGAAACATTTCAACAGTTGCTCTGAGATATCGCCTATATCGGCGAAATATCGGAAAAACAAAGCACAATGTCCGACGATAATCGTTTGTATTACTTTTGCACAGTACTGTATATTTTGGCCGTGATGTTGAGATTAGAATTTGCGTCAAGATGTTGTTAAGAGATTGCGTAGACCGACGATTATTACAAAATGTTGCAACCCTTATTACAAAATACTTCAACCGTTATGACAAAATGCGCAGGTTGTTTCAAAATACGTTTTTATTACAAAATGTCGCAGCGATAATTTTTTAAAAACGTGAAGGTATTTTGACTTTTTTTCCACCAAGGTAACCCTTTAATTCGTGAAAGTCACGGAGTCACACCAAAATGTATCTTCCAGATCAGCGCTTCATCTCCCTTTAGAATTCACGCACGCTTCTAATCTGATCTGCGTTGTAAACACAGACACACACACAACCCCAAAATCCCTTAGTTTGCTCTGACATAAGGCTAATCCTGGAACTGATTTAAAGCTTTTCAAAATCCCTTCCCACTGACCAAGGGCTACTGCTCAAAACGTCAACTTAGGAAACTCTTCAGTTACAGTGGTCAGTTTGCGTTATCAACTTAGTTGATTGAAATCGATTATGTCGTTGTGATCACAACCGATGCAGCACCACAGTTTCTTTATAAACTTACTCCCTTTTTTTTTGGCACCCTACCTACCTACCTCGATCAACTTGCGGTTGATAAACAACCAATTCATTGGCTCGGAAATATACCACTGTCACTTTTTGGATGTCATAACACTGTCGGCCGGCTGCGAAGGTCAAAGTAACTGCTCGTAATTATTATTAAATAAATTTCGCAAACAAATTCACCGATCTTTCTTTCGCCCCAGTTATTGGTGCTTGTTGAGTCTCCTCTCAGAGTTAACACATTGACTCCTGCAGAAGGTTATGTAATGTAATCATTGCTAGACATCAATCCATAATAGCGTAACCGAAATTTTCCCATTATTAGTGGATCTATAGACGTGGAGCAAGTATTTCTTCATATATACTTTTAAGTGACCCAGCCACACTTCGTCAAAGGGCGCCAAGAGTAAATTAAGACACTCGGCTCAAATTACTCAAAATGTGTATGCAGTCAAACCGAAGTTCCTACTTCAAAGCGAGCAGGAGCCCTGGTAACGTTTATGGGCTCCTGAAGCTGGTTGATGCATCAAGAGAGGCTATACGAATCAATGTTTGATTTTAGGCGCTCAGGCTATCCAATCGATCTTCAGCGCAATTGTCAGCGAAAATGAATTAAGAATCCGCGCGACAAAAACATTACATACGATAAATTGAATTATTCCTAAAAGGTGACTTCTCATCGGCTGATATGTAAAAGAATTGACCGATATTATATCTCTAACCACAATGAATGAATGTCACACCTAGCCGTTCCCCCTTTCTCCTCCACCTCCCCCTAAAAAAAGACGGAAACAAAGGATTTTTTTGTCAGAATAGTCCTAGGGATATGGTCGTACGCGAATGTTTACACCATGGTTAACAACTAGATTAACTGTTGTGCCAGCTCAAAATATACTTGTATTTCCTAGCCTCTAGTAGTTTCCATTCTAAATCAGTATTGTATGATTTCAACCTATGAAATGCAATCTGTGTAAGGCATTTAATCTCGGTAAACGATTGTTTAGGGATCTCTCAATAAGTTTATAACAAGCTTCCCTCTCTACAATGAACCCAATCCCTACGTCCTGTAGCTACTCAGATCTTTCACGGGAAGCGCAAGAAAGACTTTCAGTTCCAACTTCGTGAATAGTTTTAAAGTGGACCAATTTCACTTATGAGACATTTGTCGATCTTGCATTATCTCTTTCGTGGTTGGTAAAAACAAATGGTTTCCTGAACGACTCTACGATGCGTTTTCAAATATCCCGGAGCCTGGGATAATAATATGTAATATTCAGCGTTAAAAGAGTTAATGGGGCCTACAGGCCTTGGTTCCTGGAAAGCCTTTCCCTGATTAGTCATCCCATCGATTTTTTATCACTAGGATAATTAATCTAGAATTTACTTGATTTTTCGAGATAGTGCTTTCAGACTAGATTTTTTTCCTGGTTAAAGTGTTTTCATCGTAGATTAATGATGGTAATGGGACCGAGAGGAGTCCTATTCAGTCTGTAATCATACAGGTGATTAACAAAATCAGACGACCGCAAAGCGAGAGTCCGATTTGTCAATCACAAGCATGATCACAGACAGAATTGGACCACACGAAATCTTGTTACCATTTAATCATAACCGTTAAAATTACCGAAAACAACAAATGCACTTAGGACAGATATCTCCGGTGGAGACAATATCTGAAGTAAGACATTCCTCCATTTTGGAAATTCTTCCTTTTTGTTTGGGGGATAAGTGGTTGTTGTTATGGTTATCGTGATCAATTATGTCATATGCGGATATGGCTGAGTAGAATTAGTATGATTGGCTGCTTGAACTGTCCAATCACAATCAACTGTCCGATTACACTATCCGATTACAACTGTGAAAGATAAAGCAGCTAATGCACCAATCACATTTGAGGTAATTGGAACGGTTATGATTAGACCTTATTTAATCAGCTTTCTAGGAACCGTGGCCAGAAAATTTTTTCACACATTTGTCAGAGAAATTCCAAAAAAATCTCATGTAGATTCGAAAGCGTTTCCTCTTTACAGATGGTAAATGGGAATTTTTCCTTACTTAACACAGATCTTAGGTAAATATTACATCAAACTGCAAAAATAATTAATGGCAAACGGTAAGAAATAATCTAGCGATGTGCATTCATCGTAATGTAAGTCTTTTAGCAGTGAGTATTGGATATTTTCCTCATTCTGTTAAATTTGTATGTCAATGAATTGAGAAGTAAAGGAGATGTTACTTACATTTTTCCACTCGCCTTTGTAATAAACGAAGAACTTCTTAATATTTTCTTTAATTTAACGTTCTTGTCCACGAATCCTACTAGAAGCTTCATGTCTAAATTTAAAGAATTAAATCGTGAAGGGTCTCAACCGACTGACGATTTGAATTTGTAGCAAATTAAATTGTAAGCGGACCGTATTCTCAAAAATTAAAGTTAAAACGCCAAGAAGGTATCAACAAAATTCAGCTAAAGGTTTAACATACCCTCTCACGGCGAGGCTGATTCGCTCGGTTTGATGAGTTCCTTGCTTCGGCCCTCGGAAATAAACTTTATATCCTGAATTTTTCCTTTGCAACGGTTTCATGCTCCTATTCATCCAATTCAAGGTACAAGAATTTCATTGAAGACTGTAAATCAGCAAAAACTTCTCGGTGAGATCTGTTGTCCATTTGCAATTTGAAAGAACAGCACTCACAACTTCACTTGTGCCACCCGCGTCGGGAATTTCCCGCGCTTAGCAAAAGGTGTAATCACGTGACGAGATTAAACCAATCAACTGTGGGTGGGAAGCTGTGGGTTGAGGAGTGGGAAGGGTGTAGAGTTTCTTTCGGTCGCCCTTCGAGCTTTTGCAATTTATTCATTCTGACTGTTGATAATAAACAATTTGATCCTTTAGATTAAAAAATGGTCAGATTTACATTTGAGAATTAACAACTGCAATTGAAAGTTCTGCAGATTTTTATGTTGCTCTTAAGAGCCTCATTTCAAAGTATCAAGGTTGGTTACTGTTTTTGGTGATCATATTAGTCTCAGAAGAATAAAAAAAGCACTCATTACGTTTTTGAGCAAATTCAGACAGTTTACTTTATTCGTGAATGCGAATCAACTTTGTCAGAACTTAAATATAGTCCCGGAGATACCACGAAGGTTTTCGAGTCCTTAGGGATGGGTACTCATGTATGGAAAGCCCTGATTTTGCTTCTCCTACAAAGTGACCTCTATGTCTGTCTTCCACATGCGGCTGTTTCCGTCGAGGATAAAAAATCAGTGCCACATAGACAGTTCTTGATCGCCTGGGGATCGGGGAAGTCGGGGAAGGGTCATGGAAAGGGTCATGGAAAGGGACTGAAGGATTTTGGGCGGTGATTTTCAGTTGAAACGGAGGGGAGTCAGTCGTCTCCAAGAGGGTTAAAAGGGAAGGACTGTAGATAACGGACTGCCTATTAATTACCAAAGAGGGAGATCATAAGAACACTATAGAGCCTTTTATTATTATTATTATTATTTTTTTTTTTTTGGGGGGATTCTGGTTTCTCTGACCTCCCACTCCACCTGGCGATAAAGAAAGATCAGTCCCCAGGGCGATTCTAAGCCTTGATCGGCTCGCGCCAAACATGGTGTTTTGCACTGAGGGCATCAAGATAGCTTTTAATATCGCTGATGTCAGATATGTTAGGGATTGACAATAAAATTTCCTAGTATTCGCCTACGGCGTTCGCTACGATTCATTACGCTCGCATAGCTTCATATAACCGAAAAACCTGATCATCGATGTGTCTAATGCGACATTTCAAAATGCCGGATAGCAGCCTCTTGGGGAAGCTTGAAAACAAACTTGAAGCGCCAATAAACTGCCATAGGTGTGAAAAAATCGTCGGTGGTACCCAGCAGATATAAAGTGGTATTTGCTGGCTTAGCGATCTGATCGAGAAAAGGAATAGATAGCTTTACCCAGCATAACGCTCATCATGATTTCTGTTTCGCTTTAAGACCCACCAATGATGTAGCCAGCTATAAACCTGCTAGCAAAGACAGCTGACAGGCATGAAAGCGTTTTCAACCACGAAGGATTTCCCCGCTGCTGATGAGTAGATGAATTCCCTCAGGAGGATTTTAAGTTTTATGATTCCCATTTCTCATGCCGTCGAAAACTCATCTAAGACCGCCAACTACTTCTACGTTGTCTAAGTTTTTCAAAACGTGGGGGGGATGTGAAGGTTTTACGTTTTTATGTCATTCATTAAACGACGTAAAATACGTCCTATCTGAATCGTCCCCCACCGAAAAAAAAAGTTCACGCCTCGCTCGAACTGCCCCTGGTTCTTTTCCCATCGCTATAACTAATTTATCAAGTCGTATTTAACTTAATTAAGTATTCACAGCTTTCGTTGAAGTTGAATTTCTCACACTTGTTTTGATTTGTTTTGGTTTTTCGAGAATTCAAAATTACCCTAACCCTTCTTCTCTTACAAGGGAAAGGAAAAAAGAACTACGCAGGTTGAAGCAGAATTGGACCAATTTTTCCTAAGGCTACCACGGCAATTTCATAAACCTCCCCACCCTCCCATCCCCCCCTCTACGTGCTCTTAGTTACAAGTATTGTGAGTTTTCACGGCAACTGAAGAAAATAATCAAAAGTGAATAAAAAAGAGTTTCACATGCAACCAACCATGATAGAGCTTTTATTTCTACTGTTTCCAGCTATTTGTTTCAAAGTCCAAGATGCTCTCTACGTATTCGTGCTCGTGGGTTTGAAACGGAAAAAGAAGTACTTAAAGTTTTTCCTGCTCGTAAATTATCCATTTTTTCTGATCACTTATTCGTGAACGTGGAGATATATATGGTGGCAATTGCAGATGTATAACTTAACATTCTTTTCTCTCCAAAATTGCCGTCCTAACGTTTGCCAGTATATTTAACTGAAAGTCTTTTTGCGTTTTTAGCAGTTACTACAACTTCCCACTCTCGGGAAGCGGATGTGAAATATGTCAAGTTGTAGGCGTCATAAAATAACAATTGGAAACGGAAACAGGATGTTAAAGTACATTACGTAATTTCAGAATATATAAGTTCACTGATACTTCGCTTTTCTTCTCGTCCTTGTCAAGTTATCGCGTTTTAACTTCGTTGAAAAACCGTCTGGAAGACTTCGTGGTCATAAACATTTCCCAGTCACAGGTGTACAACAATACCTCAATTATCTTATCACCTTTAATCCAATCACAAGGCTCTAAATTAACACGTGATCAGAAGCGTGCAGCTGAGCCTGGCATGGCGCGGTCGCGGAACTGAGAGGTGGCAACAAATATGGCGTCTGAAGAAAGTTTGGAACATGCTGGCCGTTTTTGACGAGGGATTGTGGATTTTTTGACATGTATTTTAACGATATGGCCCTGGAGTTAAAGTTACACAGTCCTGCCGGAGCAGAGTCTATTGTCTATTCGTGGCCACTACAAAAATCGGTGAGTTTCTCCGCTGGTATTTGGTTAAGTTTGGAATTTTGTGGCCAAGACAGCTTCTAACTTAGGCGCTGTTTGACATATTTATCTAAACATTCATGCGATGATTTACTTTGTAGGACGGACGAGACGAGGCAGCAGAGATTGTTGAAACTATCAGGTAAACTTAAACAGCGTAGCAGATTTACTCGTGGTGACAAGGCTTGGAAAATTGTAGGGAACACGCTCTAATTTAGTTAGGAGCAGGTAACTGTAGCTTCTATCGACCGCTCTAACTCACGAATTTACCTATTTGTACCGTTTTCCTAGATGGGTTTGTGCCGATTTTCCAGAACTGAAACTCGCTGTCGAGCACTATGTTCTTCGTGAGTTTGATCCAACCAGGTAATTGTATTTATTCTCTGTTGTTTACAATTTACAAATTGAGGTTTCGTGTTAAATAAAAGTGAAACTAACATTGCTCATTAATATAACAGGTGGTATTTGTCCAGTCCGAAATCGTAGTCCTTGATCATTGACACATTTTATTTTGTACTTCAGCTACGAAAGCATGTCCAAACTTTGTGAACGGTACAATCGAGCGATCGACGGAATTTTACAATTGGTGAGTACAGTGGCGTGTATTTTCTGACACCACGATGTGCTCTACGTTTCGACTAGGGCGAATCAAAACGTTGTTGTTCTTAACTTAAGCAAGGGTCGATTAGGAATACGAAAGACAGGGTTGGTTTTTTTATTTTTGTGAGACTATTTTTATCTGTAAGATAAAGAAAGTTGGGCGATTTTGAGGTTTTTGGGAGCCGTCTCATTGGTAGTGAAATGCCGTGCTTTGAGACATGCCACCATGTTTCGCATACCGGAAGAGGGTATAAACAACTCAAGGAGATTATAGTCGCACGTTGGTAGACAACGGATGGGAACTCTTTTCCGGTCATAATTCTGTCTTTTTTGAGGTTAACCAGTAAAGATCGAAATAATTTTGCAGATGTTAAAATGAACACCATATGGTTTTATGCCCGTTTAACGGTATGCAAGAATATTTATATCCTCTACGTATACTAACAAACGTCTGATTGAATTGTAATCATTGCCAAAATTTAAAGTTGAGAAATTTTCCCATATCGTATTATTTTAGCAAAAGAAATAACACCTTGCTCAGTTTTCGTATTCTTTCTGCCTTCGATGTACATACTATGTCACTTTAAAAAGTTGTGATAAACTTCTCAGTTGGACTTACATGAAAATTTTTGCATAACATATGCTTGCCTAATACAATTCCCTTCCTAGTGAAGGTCAAGTTCAGGAGTTAACACTTAAAGGCCTAAGATCTGTTAACTTGCAGTTCTCCCTTCTAGTTACTGTACATTTCTAGGTAAATTAGTCAACAAAATTAAGTTGAGAAGTTGAGATGCTCATGTATCTGATCTATTTCTGAACATCAACTTCTAGACAATGTTGATATTGTTTGGAAAAGTGACATGTTGATCACTGTCTAAGAGTAAAAGGATTACTGATTATTGGATATGAAAACAATGAAATTTTTTGGGCAATCATGTGTTTTTTTCCTTTTATTAAAAAAAAAAAAAAATGACCACATGTACAGTTAATAAAAGGCTATTCAGCACTTTTGCTTAATTGGATTTGATTTGCATTATCCTTTTAACCTTTTCCACATTTCTTTGTGTATTGTATCTTTTCTGAGAATTTGTTTTGAGGTCATGAAAAATCTGGGGTTAAGCATCTTCCCATAAAAATGCAGAATAATCTCTATTTTTCTTTCACCTTCTATAGCTGTGACTACAGTATCTGAACCTTCTAATTTCTTCTGACAATATCACCCCTGAATTAAACCTGAAGTTCATGAGAATAAAGGAAATGATCCCTTACTAAAGAAGCTCTTGATTGTTAAACAAATTCTCCTTATTAGCACCAAGGAAGTGTAAGAAAAATCAAATCAGGTATTGGCCAATTTAAAAGTGAAAATTTTGTTTGCATTGGAATGTTGGATCATGAGATGTGTCAGGGTTGTCACCATTGTGTACATGATCCTCACAGGACTCATGAATCAAAGAGCTTTTTGTTTCTTAAACATAGTGATTGCAATTAGAGTCTAGTGGGAAATTCAAATGTTAATGTTGCTTATATTTGTTTTCAGTTTTTGTGCACTCTGGTTTTTGCTTTGTGTTTGAACTAATGAATCTTTATAATAAAAGAAATTTTCATCAGTGCCATGGCGACCTATTTTGCTTGAGGAGACATGCATTAGCCCTTTTTAGCCTTACATCAGAATTCCTTTTTCCAGTAACCTTATCTGTAAATTTCTTGTCACTCACAAGGATAATTTAGTTAACCATCAGTTGGAGATCATTTCCTTCATTCTCATGATCTCAATGAATGATATAGCACTATTACAATAAAGAGAAATTAGATGTTGGTCACTCTTAGGGTTAGGGTTTAATTTTCAGCATTACTGTGCAGAGTGAACCTTTGGCAATTTCATCTTTGAAGTCATTTTAATCACACTTATTATTTTTCTAGTGGAAAGGTTGTGCCCCTCCATCTTGTATTAATGTTCCACCTTCTCAAGAACTTCTACGTCACATTATACAGCAAGTGTACAGTCACTCTGTCAGAGACCCAGACAAGCTGAATGATTATGAACCATTTTCTCCTGAGGTAGGATCACAATAGCTAATTGTCCTTAACCCTTTCACTCCCAAGATCTCCTCAGTAATTCTCCTTACTGTCTGCCATACAATTCATGTGATGTTAGTTTGGAGAATTTGGAGTTGGATCAACAAATAATCCCCTAATTGATATTTTTCTTTCTTCTCATTACTTGTCTGCTTGCTATTGTACTGATAGTGTAAGGAGAAATTCTGTATAGGTCACTAGTGGGACTTAAAGGGTTAAGAGCTTTAAACTTTACATCCACTTTTAGACTGTATCCATACTATGCTGGTTATATTTTTCACTTCACTCTGAGAAATGGATGGTACATTCTCCATTCACAATACCACAATCACCATGTTCAAAGTGCTTAAATACATTAGTTGGCATGCAGATATTTAAGGTGTAATTATTCTGCTAAAGGTGATATCTTTGTTTTAGAAAAGCTGCATGATCAAAATGTTTGTGTCAAATCATGCACATTAAATTGAATTTATCATAACCATTTTGTGTTTACCCTTTTGTTGGTAAATAATTACCAGTGATGATAATTCTTTTCTGGATAGGTATATGGTGAAACATCATTTGAACTTGTGGCTCAGATGATAAAGGAAGTGCCCATGAGTCCACATGATTTATTCATTGATCTAGGAAGTGGTAAGTGAAACACAGTCATTACTTCAATTCAACTTTTTCTTTATTATGTCCTGTTACACAATTATTCTCTTTTAAAACTTAATAAGCCCTTTACTCTATTTAACAATTATTTGCCAAAGGTGAAGTGAATATCGGTGAATAATCCCTGAGACAAAGTTGAGGGGATTATTCAGCAATGTTCACTGAGCCTGAGTCAGATAATTGTTTTTGCATTATTGCTCAGGTGCTTTTGAAATCTGCTGTAAATTTCGTTAATTGTGGAGGATTGCCTATATTTTGTTACAATTGTGGTGATTCTTATATCAAGATAAGCAAGGAGTTTTAGCAGGTTTACTTGATTCAATCAGCAAAAACTTGATATCTTTCTTTTGGAAAGTGTTCTGCTAAACTAAGTAGCATCTTTTGTACCCTTGGCAATTGAATTTCTTCTGTCATGTGTATCACTTTCTCTGAAACACTGACAAAATACCAGGCAGCCATTTTGAAATTCAGCCCTCCTTACTACATGTAATAACCTTGTGCTAAGAGATTATAGCATGACAAGATGCAATCCTTATCCAATCAGAGCACATGTATCTCTATAATCGCTGGTGCAATTGCACTAAAACATAATGGGTATTCAGCAGTCTGTTCTCCATACATTTTCTATGATTGCGGCAGTAAGAATTTGTTCCAAAATTAAGAGCTTAGCATGTGATAATCTGTGTCTCTGAGGGAAGACTAATAAGTTGATATCAGTACTTTTCATTTGATATTTAGAATGCAATAAAAATAACTCCGCAGTGGAGTGTTTCTTCAGTGCTAACATTTACTTATGAAACTGTGGGCATATTTTTCAGGTGTGGGTCAGGTCGTGTTACAAGTTGCAGCATCAGGAAATATCAAGGAATGTTATGGTATAGAAAAAGCAGACATCCCTGCAAGATATGCAGAGGTGAGTGATGTTTATGAAATCAGCTTGAATCCTGTTGCAAAAGAGAATCAATTTAAATGTGATTCTATTGACTTGAGAGGTTTTTTAAAAAAAGTCTTCCACAAATATTTTGTAAACAGGGTTTGCATGTGTTATAGGAAATTTGAGTAGTTGTGGGTTGATAATCCTTTCAGTCTCGGTCAGCACTTGCATGTCAGAAATTTTCCTTTCCATGTAAGTATATTGAAAAGTGGACAGATAATAAGAATTGTCAAAAATATATTGCTTTGTAGGAGGAAAAACACTTTACCCGTAGATCCTGAGTGTCAAAGGGAATGAAAAGTTTTTGAGAAGCTGATGTTTTTTTTTTGTTGCATGATCTTTTTCAGGAAATGGACAGGGAATTCCGTAAATGGATGCGATGGTTTGGGAAAACTTACAAACCTTACAAGGTGGGCTCTACTGTAGAAAAATGCCAATGAGTGACCAAGACAGAGTTTCTCCTTACTATATCTATACAGTATCATGCAGACAAATGATGAGAATAAAGAAAAATATCAATTATGGGATTACTAATTGATCCGATACCAAATTCTTCAAACTAACATAATGAGAATCATTTGGCAGATAGTAAGGAGAGTTACTCATGGGATCTTGGGAGTTAAAGGGTTAAGAAGCATGTGATTCCAATCATGAGACTATTGCCTGAAACTTTGAGATCTTGCAACAAAAATGTCTCTTACTCTTAGATGGTAATAAATGCACAAAAAAATACATTTAGGTCACTTAGAGATTTTGATTTTTGAGACTGATTTTGGACAGTAGTTTGTGAGATTTATCTTATTCTGAGCTGCAATACGTGTAGCTATGTGAAGACCAAGGGTGAAGTGGGTTTGGGTAACACATGAAGAAATCTAAGTTGATACTTAATTTAGATCACATACAGGGTAGCTTTTACTAATCGTCTTTTGGTAAGTTAATGGAATGAATGATTTCCTTATTGTAATTTCTTTTGTAAATATGTGCACACATTTGAAATTTTTGTAACAAGTCTTTTTTTATCAATAGCTGGTAAAGGGTGATTTCTTAGAAGATAAAATGAGAGAAAAGATACAATCTGCTGGGTGAGTAATCCTGCTGTGAAGGAGTAAGAAAAACAAAATTATTCTTCATCTCAAATGCTAGATATGTGTAGGAATATTTTAATGTTCTGCAAGTCAATTCAGCCAGAGTGAAAGTACAAAACAAGTTATTGATATCATAGACCAGAGCATAAATTGTCTTTTCCAATATTCATATCATTTGACTTTAGGATTGTGTTTGTCAACAATTTTGCCTTTGGACCAGATGTTGATCACAAATTGAAGGAAAGATTTGCCACAATGCGAGAAGGTATGGCCAGTATAAAGAAAGAATTTTAAGTTTATAGTGTGCATGTCTTAAGTGGGAAGAAGTTGAGCTCTGTAAATTTTCACAAAATGCTGCCAGATATTTTTTTTTGATAGCTGATTTTCCCTTTTTTTGTTGTTCTGTTTTGTTTGTTTGTTGTTTTCCTTCAAGTTTTTTTTTTGTAATATAGGGTTTGTGTGTTGCCTAAAACTGAGAACTTGTGTTAATACACAAAGCTAATCCTTACGTTTTAATATTAGTTCAGTAGGTACTAATTATTACTTTTTACCAGACTTAACATTTTATCAAAGGAGTATGGTATTAATTTGTTACTCCTGAGTAGAGTTAAACAGGAGTGATTCAAAGCATCCTTTGCTGTTTCAGAAACCATCTTTGAAAATGAGGGGGGAGGGGAAGGGTGCTTATTCAAGGGGGTACACAAACAAAATTTTGGCCATTTAGAGTGGTGGTGAAGTAGCAAGGGGTCTATTCCAGAGAGGTAGCAAATCCAACAATTTACATTAGTTTTTCAGTTTTGAATACTTAGTCTTGCATATAACTAGTTGTCCACAAGAAGAAGAGTGTACATTTTCCTTAGCTACACATAACAAAAATGTCCATTTTATGTTTTTTTCATCATTATCCTACTAACTTTGAGTTGCTTTTTCTAACAGGTGCCAAGATTATTTCATCCAAAGCATTTTGTTCCCTCAATTTCAGAACCACATCACGTAATTTATCAGGTGAGTTGTGAAGCAATCCAAATTTTTCATATCAAAGTGGTTATGCAATTCAGGGAAATGAAACATCCATTTTTCCCAATGCTCTACTACTGAGCCACAGAGACTCTATGGTGAGCAAGGCCCATTACAAAGTTCATGTATGACACGTGCTCTGCATACTGCTAGGATCAGCAATGTCATTAGTGTCATGTTTTGTAAACAGAATAAGAAAGATGGTAAGTTTTGAGCTTGACAAAGATATAGAGAAAGGTGTCTATTCTTTGCAATGGGCCTTGCTCACCCTAGAGTCTCTGTGGTACAGCAGTTGCATTGGAGCAAGGAATCCAAAGGTCTGAGGTTCAGTTCCTCAAGGGAACTCAGAATTTTTTCTTTGTCCCATGCTCGTGACTAGACCAAAAATCATCTTACTCTACTGTTAGTTTTCATTTTTTTTTTGGTTTATTTATTTTAGATATTGGCACTATACTGCGGGTGTCTGAACTCAAGCCAAATGGCCGTGCAGTGTCTTGGACAGGAAAGCCTGTTTCCTATTTTGTTCATGTTATTGATAGGACCCTGGTGAGAATGAGTTTACTTAATATATGATTTTCATATATTTTACAGTCATTTATTCATCACTTCATGAGTTTATTTGTAGCCAACATAATGACCAGCTCAGTTGGTAGAGTACTGCACTGGTATTGTAGAGGTCATAGGTTCAAATCCTGTACAGGCCGGAATTTTTTTTAGGCCTTATTTTTACTACTGCTTTAGTAGTGTTTGTTACTGTAAAGATCACTTCCATATTCATGACTGATATATTGTTGCACTAATTTAATACTGCCTTTGGAAAATGGAGAGCACAGTCAGTCAGACCATTATAGACCTCATCTCTTCCTTTCAATCACTACTTCATGTGCTTCTTTCAATTTCGAACCCGAAATTTAATTCTCCTTCAATCTGTGACTATTTCTTTTAAAGAGCCATTCATGAGACTTTGTCTTTCATTAAGATACTGTCTTGAATTTGTTAATTTTCCTCACTCCTGGTAATTGAGGGTTAATGTTGCATATTAATCTTTTTCCTTAGCTGGAGCAGTATTTTGCGGACCTCAAAAGGCGAAAGGTGAGATTTGTTTAAATCTTCCCTTGCATTTCCCAGAGGAACCAAGTCAATTGTGAATTTTTTCAAAAAGTCACATCACTAGTACATAAATTTTGAAGGAGGGAGTGTGACTTTTATCTTAAATGGTTTGTGTGCCCATCTTCAAATTGAAAACTCTTCAAGTTTAGCTCCACCTAAGAGTGCATAAATGACTTTCAGCAAAATTTTGGGGAGATATGACAAGTTGGGGCTCCTCTGTTTGCGAGAAGAATTTATCATTTTCACTACTCAGGTTCCTTGGGTTAAATGGATTATTAGTTTTGTTTGGGATGGAGGATAAATAATCTTGATTTTGTTTTATTGTATATGATGAGGGCATGAGGAAAATTGCAGAGGTGGCCAAAATCCAATCTAAATTTTTTTTGCTCTACAAAAGACTTGTTAAATGTAATTTAAAGATGGATTCAGAAAAAAAGTTCACTAAAATCATTTGATTCTTCTCTTTGGATAATACATACAAAAAGCATTTCTTTTTGCTAACCAGCAAATTAACAAATCAACAGTGGCCACTGTCAGGACAAATATTGTTTTCAATAAGGGTGCAGATTGTGCTAAGTTACTGTAGATTCGATTCTTACCACAATATTGATTTTTCATTGCTTGACACTAGCAGCATTGTCTCCACTTTCATCAACAATGGCAACTTGGACAATCAGATTGCAACATTATTGCCAATTGTGGTAAAATCTGGTTTATAGAGTGGCAAATGGTAAAAAATCAATGGCTAGCACTTTGCTATAGCTCACAAGCCATTTGACCTTTTTTGCAGGAGGGTAGAGACTTCAGTGATGCCAGTAGCTTGAGTGACTCAATGGCAAGCACTCCAAACTTTGAAGAACTGGATGATGTTCTGTTTGGTGTTTCAACCAGACACCAATGGAATCAGCTTATCACCCAAATTGAAGCTACCAACAAAGCAAACAAGGGCCACGGTCGAAATTCAAGGAAAAGTCACAGCAAAAAGTGTGTGCTGCAGGAAAGGAATGGCAGTATGAATCCTACATGGCCAGATCAAGAACAGAAAGATGGCAGCAAAGTACTGTGTTTGTTTGTTTGTTTATATCTTTCTAGTTTGCTTTTTTGATTGACTGATGCGATTCATTCTAAAATTCTCTTGCCTGACTCTCATTTATTTCTTCGTAAATTAGTGAAGAGAATTAAGCTATTAGCCCTTTCACTCCCAAGATCTTGTTGAGTAATTCTCCTAGTTATTTGTCACACAATTCTTATGATGTTAGTGTGGAGAATTTGGTATTAGATCAACTAATAAACCCTTAATTGATATTTCTCTTTATTCTCCTCACTTGTCTGCTTGATATTGTATCGATATTGTATGGAGAAATTCTGTCTTGGTCATTCATGGGAGTTGAAGGGTTAAGACATTAACTAAGTAATTAATTGTGATCAGATTCCTTTATGGAAAGGAAAAAACTCAGTGAAATTGTCCTTGTTCTCAAGTTTTCTTTTGGTAACTCAGTTGCTTGTAGTATCTAGGAAGTAGGGGTTTGGATCCCATTGAAGCCTGGAATTTTTCAGGCTTATTTCCTGAAATGTTTTTCAATTGCAGCTCACTTACAAGTATCATATCCTCACTTTTATTTCATCTACAGCTCAAAATATAATTTATTTCAATTCATTATGAGAATAACGCTGATGTGTTTGGCTCTTCTCATCACCTTACTGCTTGATGTTGTATTGATATCGTAAGGAGAAATTCCATTCATCTGTCAGTCACCTCTTGGAGTGAAAGGTTTAACCCTTTTTACCCAAACATCAATATGCATATTCTCCATACTGTTCTCTATACATTTCCTAAGGTGCTGACAAGGAGAATTTGTTTGACAATTAAGAGCTTCCTTAGTTGGCGATCATTTCCTGTATTCTCATGACCTTAAAGTGCGATTCAGGGATGATATTGTAAGGAGAAATTGGATGTTTGTCACTCTTAGGATTTCAAGGGTGACGACTATTTGTTTTTTTTTTTCCTAGGGACGTCAACCAACATTTGCTCAGAAAGTTCGGAAGAAATACCAAAGGCAACAAAACAAGAAAGCTCAGAAGCTAAAGAAGCGTCTTAAGAATAGCAAGGGAAAGGGAAAGCAAAAGTCAAAACCGAAGAAAAACAGTTCCATGACAAAGGTGAAGCTAAAAGAGATGTCTAAAGCAAGTCAAAAAAGGCAAAGGGATAACCTGGCTGTAACAGCTTTGGAAAATGCCACAGTAGCTGCTCTGCAGGTAAACACGTTTATATACGCGTTTTGACGTCCTTCTAAAGAAATACTAATTCGTTTCTTTTTCCCCTTCGAAAATAGGGAGAGATGTGTCAGGGCGGCAGGGTAGACATGTGATCAGAAAACTCATATGGTTTTAAAACACCGTGACTAATTGGCTTCTGTTGTCGTTTATAACCCCTGTAGGGCAACTCAGCTCCGAAGGCTTGGAAATACGCCCCCTAGCTATTACAACGTTCGCACATGCTCTTACACTGTATGTCAGGGTGATTTAGTATTATCAACTGATTGATAACGTAAATTGGCCACTGTTAAGAGTTTCAAAGCTGACGTTTTAAGCGTTAGCCCTTAATCATTTGCTCTAACGAGGGGCTAACGCTCGTGAGCTTTGAAACCCTTTAAGGTGGCCATTTTACGTTATCAACTCAGTTGATAATACTAAATTACCCTGTTATACTCTCCTACCGATGCAGCACCACAGATTCGTTAGAAACTTACCCCCTTTATTCACTGTATGTTTGACTGCTTGTTTACCGTAAGTTGACTGTGAGCAGGCTGCAACAGTGGGAGGCAAGGACAGTCACTGCTGTACCATCTTAAATCCTTGGGATGGCACGTTAAAACTGTTGATTTTGTAGAGACGTTGCAGATCCAACTTGAACATTTTTTTTTAATGACCAGAATCTTCAAAGAAAGAGAGGGCAAAAGCAGGGAATGAGAATTTCATCAGCGTCGCCGCCACCCATGTCACATAATTTCAGCATAGAACAGTGCCTCCCAGCTTTGGAGCAACTTATGGGTGAGTCAGCAGGCACAAGGAGCAAGAGGCCTGGGCCGAGTTATTTTGTTTGCAGTGTTGTTGTTGTTGTCTTTGTTTCATACATAGTTACCGAGTTCAGATTTAAATTGACTGTGACAAAAGCCATGCCTATGTTTGTTTTGCTCGTGTAGTAGGTAGTTAGGTCCAATCAAAGTTCAAAGTATATGCATGCAAGTGGCCAGAAGAGCAGGGAAACATTATTAACAATTGGCACAGTTGGGTAGATCCACATCTATCACGATGTTGCAGAAAACAGAAGAAAGACGAGAAAAGAAAACTTTACAAAAAATATTAGGGAATTACTCGCTTTGGACTAGTGGGGCAATGTGGGGAAGGTACTTACTGATACCCATAATTCTTCACGCCGTTCATTCTCTTATAAGCTACAGAAGCTATATAAGGCAGTCTGTATGCAAACGTTAACTGCGACACTCAAATTTGTGTAAGACCTTGTCAGATATTATCCTGTTGTCCTTTCTCCAGCTGTCACTCGTTACCAGTTCCTTCATTTCATGTGCCACATGAATACCTCTGAATACAAGGAAAATCTCAAGAGGCAAATTGAAGAACAGAAGGTAGGTCTACTTTGAAAATGTTAACTTGTCGGAAAAGTTGCCGTACATCAGTTAGCAAACTTAAGAGTGAAGTATCACTTCGTTTGGTGAGGGAGACATAAAAAACCATGATTATTTTTACCTTAGGGCATTTCTCCACCCAGGCGTGTTATAATTGAGTGATGTTGATTATCACAGTTGCTTTGCAATAATTTTTAACGAATTTGGTAGTGAGTAGTACCGAGTGTTTCATCAAAAGCTGGTTGCTGGCGGTCTATCGCCGCCTGTGAGACCCCTCACCGCCGTCTGTTTAACCCTTTAAACCCTAAGAGTGACCAGCATCTAGTTTCTCCTGACAATAATACAGCTGAATCATTCATTTAAGATCATGAGAATAAAGGAAATGATCACCAACTAAAGTGGCTCTTGATTGTTAAACAAATTTTCCTTGTCAGCATCTTAGGAAATGTATAGAGAACAGTATGGAGAATAGACATACTGATTTTAGGGTGTAAAGGGTTAACATGCGGGCAAGCTCTTGTGTTTGGGTTTCGCTTGACGACACAGCCGCTTATTGAACCATCGGCAGTCGCTTATGGAAAAAGCCATTGAAACCCCTGGGAACTACAGGTTAAGTCGATGGAGTGTTCAAGCTGCTCTAGCGGTTCTTTGGACCACGTTTTATTTAGAACAGAAGGGAAGCACAAGATGATGTGTTTTCTTAGCTAGTAGACACAAACGTTCAGTTGAAAACCGCATTGTATAGAGTGAAATTGTTTTTTTTTTCTTTAGGCAAAGAAGAAAGAATTGATGGGAAAGGTTTCTTTAGCCGAGAAACATGTGGAAATACTGCAAAAGGAAGCGCTGGGAAATCTCCGGTCACGAATGGATGAGGTAAGTGGTCTGTGACTTCCATCTTAGTTACTGGTACACCAGTGTCGATTACAACTGTGACTCTACAACGTAGTGTCTGTGATTTTCTCATGTCATGACTCCTAGCCGTTAAATTTTCGAGTTCGAGCTAGAACCTACCACGGTCGAACCTGAATTAGGCGGTCACCTACCGGAAATGGCGCTAAATACAGACTTTGACCGCTTTTCACAATAAATAACGCCACTTTATACCATAATCGATCACGCAATGAACAGAATCTCGCTCGAAAATACTGTCAACTGTAATTTTCGGGGGAGAAACAAGGATTTAAAATTACTTGAAAGATTACCATCAGTTTATTTGAGTGGTTCCGCTTTCAATGACCGTTGAATATAGGTAGAAGACAATAAAAACAGGCCGTTGGGCCTTAATAAAGGGTGACCGCGACCGCGACCGCTTAATAGAGGTCAAAATTACGATGATTAAGGGGAAACAATTCGGGACGTTGACAACTGTCCGCTTAATACAGGGTGACCGTTTGATACGATGCCGCTCAATACAGGCTCGACTGTAAAAACGCTATGACGCTTTGTAAAGAGGGACTTGGCAAGATTAACTGAAAATCAGATTTTTTCTCTGTTTCGGTGAAACTTTAATTTAGTTTAGAGCAGTTTTCAATTGAGTGTTGAAAAGCCGAAACCAAAGTAATCTCAGCGACCAATCAGATCAAAGGTTCACATCATCATTAGCCAATGAGAACTCAAAATGAAAACATGCAAACTGCTTGAAGCGCGGGAAAACGATTGGGGCGATTGTTTTTAATCTTGCATCTGATTGGCTGCGAGGATGACGCGAGTACTTTGAAGAAATCGAATAGCAAGGTTAAGTAAACCAAAAGCAATACCTGTTTACTTTTGATATCCTCAACTACTCCTATTTGCAATCCGTATTAATCCTCTCCATTCTTAACCATCGTAGTTTGATTTTGTTGGTTTTGTCTCTTTTGCTGACTTCTTTTATGTTTGCCTACCCTAAACCCTAACAGTTTATTTCAATTTAATGACGGTTTTCTATGACACAGAAAAATCACTGAAACTTTATTGACGTGGCTTCTTTCAAGTGACCTAGATCGAAAGACGATCACTTGAATACTCAGATTTATAAAACACTGATAATAGATATTATAATATATTTTTTTTAAGATTGGTTTGACCGCGAAGACGCCTCGGGAGTTACTTATGAAAGCAGGCGAGCTGTTGGGCGAACACAAGAAGATAAAGGATAGAGTGAAACGGCTGGAAAAAGAAGTCAAACATCTTGAGAAACACAAGAATTATCACTCACCTGTAAGTGTGTGTCGCTACCTCTTGTAAAATGAATATCTTGACGGTGTTAGTGCATGGCTCAGGATCGCTTGTGAGGAGACAGTTTTCTCAGAGCCCACAGTACCATGCAAGACTAAATCAGGGCACCTTAACGATCATTCGCCACCTGCCAGATGGGGTTGATGCTGAATAGGTCGCCACATCATCACTAAGTGAACTTTACTTTCTTTTGAGGTTTCAACCCTAAGCCAGTTTCAATTTTGCGTCAAATACTCTATCAATTAGGTTACAAAGTCAGCGGGTCAGGTCGTATGTTAGATTTTTATAGTGACAGGCGTATCCCATTCTGCTGGGATCAGCACTTTCAAGGGCGTTCGGTGTGGAGAGCAAGAACCATGATCAATTTAAAGGTCTTTCATCGAATAATCAAATAATGAAGTATATTTATGTAAGTAGTGTAGGTATATTTCGGCATAAGGTCATTTCTTTGTCCAGTTAAACATATTCATGATTTATAATTATCCTCTTTAACAGGGTGACAAAAACTCCACGAAGGATGGGAAACTTACCAATGGTGACTTGGACATGGTACAAAAACCGGTATGTTTAAGGAAATTTGCTGAATTTTATGAAGGATAATTTAAGGGCAAGGAAGAGATACTTCTTATTGATGAAGATTAAAGTTATAATAACCAAGGGGCAGAACGGACCATTTAATTTATTGAGGGCGCGATGGAGTTGACGTCCCATTTACAAGTAGCATTGGTTGGTAGAAACCGGAGTGAGACTTACCTAGGGGTAATCATTTGAAAAAAAATCCATGCCTTTTTATGGCTGTTAAATTAGTGACATTGTCAATCGTGCTTTAGTAGTTCGGGCCAGGGGCCCTTTTCTCGAAGGCCCTTGTGACTAAACTGATCCGTAAAGCTGTTTTATTTTCATTAAAGATTTCCAGGGTTTCCAAAGTTTTAAAGAATTATACAATAACACTATCAGCTGAAGAAACACAATGGACTGGTCAGAGTGCTACTATCTGCTTCTCTTTTCTTTTTCTTTTTATTATTATTTTAAAATATGGCTTCAGGCCCTTCAGGCCGCTAAGAATGGCAATCAGTTTTTTCCGTCTCCTTGGAACTGACAAAGCGTTATTTTTTCATCTAAGGGTGAAACACAAGTTAAAGACAAACAGAGCTTGATGACCCACCTCTACGAAGAGTGGAGGAAGCGAAAGGCTTTGGTTGAAAAGGTCAACAGACTGGAGAGCGAAGTCGAACAGCTGGACTCCAAGAAAAAGGTCTGGGAGACGGCCAGCGTCTCATCTTCAAAAAATTTACCCTCGCCAGTCAACGTTGCGACGTATGCAAAACCTGTCACACAAACTGTTCAGCCAATTACAACCCCGTTTTCTTCCAACTCAAGCGCTCACTTGACCAATTCTCAAATCTCTGCGGGCTCACTAGCATCTAGCGTAATTTCCTCATCAAGTTTGGTTTCCAAACCTACAGTTGCCATGCCTGTTCCATCCGGGACATTTCCTAGGTCCCAGGCGTCACACGGCACTGCACAACCTCAAATTGTCAACGCATATCACCAATGCTTGTTGCAGCCTGTAGGTCTACCAGTTCAGATGGTTTCTTTTATAGATAAAACTGGTAGACTGATAACAACTGCTCCTAACACAAAGAAGACGACTCCAAAGGGGAACAACGCCAAAAAGAAGTCCAAAGCGACCAGTCCAAAAAAATCGGAACTCAACGTGACGCTTCCGTCTTCAACAACATTTTCGAGCCATCAGGTTGTGAATACAGTTGTTTCTTCGTCAACTCCAACGGGATCACTGAAAAAGTCGCCAACGGTATCTCGCCCCGCACAGCCTCTTGTCACCTCTCCAGTGACGCCAGTCAATTACTCAGGTCTTCCCAGAAGTGCGATACTCTCGCCTGTACCTTTGGTGACATCGCCTGTGACACCCACACCAGTCAGGCAAGCGACTCCCATTACGTCTCTATCAGCGTCTGGCAGCGGAGTTCCTGCAATGGTTTCGTTTTCCCAGAATAGTCTCACGTTTATATCTCCGTTGAGTCCTATGTCCATTGCCTCATCTCGTCAACCAACATCAACTGCGACACCCCTTAGCTCCCTCTCGGCTTCCACGCAAAAATACTTGAACACGTTCGCGACTCAAGTGGCTGCAACATCTAGGCCATCCTTGCCAAACCCATCACAAATGAACCCACCCGTTTCTGTCAGTCAGTCGCCTATTATTGGCAGATCATTTCCAAACACGGACCTTTCAACCGACCACAGTGCTGGTATAAAGCTTCTCTGCGACCTGCTGAATGATACTCTTCCTGAACAGCCACCACCTGTTTCGACAACCTCAGCAATGCGATCTCAAGGAACACCTTCCTCGCATGCTTCAGTTTCTTCAACTCCAGACACCTCAAGGGTCGATGAAAGGAGTCCCGTCAACACCTCACCAACTACTCCCAGCAAGACCGTTGCTAAGTCCCCTAGGACTCCTTCCGTAGTAAACGTTTTAGTAAACTCGTTCCCAGGTGGGGTGTTGTCCTCAGCGGAACAGGCAAGCTCTGTTCGACGAACTCCAACACGCAGTGCAACCCCGCCGACAAGTAAGAAGCGAACTTCTCCTTTTACAATTGATAGCATTGTTAGCTCAAGCCCAGAGTCACAAACAGGAATTAAAAGCAGGAGTCCACCAGAGGCAGAAGTGACAACCAATCGGAGTAGCCCTAAAGGTGGAAACAAGTCTCCCTCCACAAATTTCAGTATTGCCCATATAACTCGTGACATGAACTCATCAAACTTAACAAGTAAATCCCGTGCGCCTTTCGTAACAAGCCCTGGTACTTACTCTCTTCCGCCGTCAGTTTCCTCTACTGATGGAAAACAGAGCCAGCGACGAAAATCTTCACCCTCTTCGAGTTTGTCACCTCTGGAGCAGAGTTCTCGTGTGGAATCTAGTGGCGTGATCTCCTCAAACACTGCCCAGAGGGGACTTACCCCTGTTCCTCTCATTACGGGACCTAATGATGTACGTAAGGATGGACACCCTACCGAATTGCCATCACAAACGCAAGGAAAACATTCGTCAATGACCCCAGAGTCGATCGCGGTCTCAGACGGCGTGTCCAGAAAAGCAGGTGCACGCAAAGACAGCCCAACCAATGCTACCAAAGGGGGTCCTGTGAACCTCAAAGAAACCATCCTCCCTACTGGGTCTAAAGCAACATCCCGTGGTTCTGTGGCGTCCAAGGGTGAAAGCGTGTCTAATGAAGTTTCCTCTTCAGTGTCGTCAAGCGTCAGCCCAGAACGCGAACGTGAAGCATTCTCGACTGAAAATCAAGACACTGTAATCATCCCTGACATTCCCCTCGATATGATTCCTCTCCCTAGCGGAAAGAGACCTAGTCCTAAGAAGGAAACGAGCTCCACCTCTTTGTCCAGTAGGAAGCGTTGTTCTCCCGTGCCTCCGGTACCGAAGTCCGCGAGCCCCGACACAGAAGTCAGCAGCCTTATGGCGCATGAATCTCTACCCCAGTCTCCTTCAATTTCATCGTCTGTTTCTAAGGCGGGGTCGGCGGTGTTGGATGGACAAGCGCCTGTGTTAGTAGACAGCAATCCCTGTTCTGCTCGCAGCCCAATCCCAGTAGCACCGTCTCTGATGATGCAGTCTCCTCTGGGAGTGTCGCTGCCGTCATTTGGAAGCGTGTTTTCCCTTACAAAAGAAGATGAAGCCACGAGGGCAGCGGAATTCACTGATAAAAACAGGTAAAAGCAAGGAATAGAATGTTTAAAACCGAACAGTTTAGTATGACTTCAGTAAGCTCAACTAAATTTTCAGAGCTTTAGGATGCACAGTCTTAAATTGGGTCAAAAACGTTGGTAAATCAAATTTGGAGAATAATGAATTATTTTAAGGAGTTAATTTATTCAGCTTATGTTTACACGCGTTTGGCTCTTGGCAGATGAAAAGGGGGAAGACATGCATTAAATGATATCATTTCTCGTTTTGTTCGTCAGTTCTCAAGTGTCCAAGAAGCCTGACCAATCGGCTGACCAGCTTTCAGAACCTCCCAAAAAGAAACGCAAACGCAAAGAAAAGAAAGGTCAGAACAAGGCAAAAGGGGCTTTGAGTTTACTCGTTCAGTATGACAGCGACAGCACAAGCTCTGGTGGAACACACACTGAAAGTGATGACAACTCCGCGCACAGCAGTAGCCCAGTCAGCGGTACACTAAGTCCTGTTGTCGCAGAAACGAGTACAGAGTCCTCTCGAAACCAGTCTACTCGCGCTTTACCGGAGCAAAGTCAAGAAATATCAGCGAATAGCGTTTCGCAAATCAACGGGCCTGCATCAAAGAGCAGTGAAGTGAGTGTCAGCAACAACAAACGCTCCAGCAATGGAAAGAGTCCAGTGGAGAAGAAGAAGTCGAAAGGTGGATGTAACCCACGGAGTGAAGTTCGTCCCCCTCTAGTCAATCTCCATGACACAGTAAGCACAATGCAGCAATTGAAAGGTGTTCCACCCAGCCCACAATTGCCTCCAACTCCTTCTCATTACCAGGCTTATGGGAGCCAGTACTCGCCGCAAGGAATGTCGGGCTATGCTCTTCCTAGTTTCTCTCTTCCACCAGGTTCATTTAATTTTCCCCAAAGTCACTCACAGTACCCGGCGACCATTCCGCAGTACTACGCTGGGGAAGCGCACCGTGTTCCCTCCGGATACAGCACGGCACCAGGGGGATTATTCCCTCAGTGGCGGACCAGTTTCACCCCAATGCAGTGTCAGAATCCGCTGCCTCCGTCGTTCAATTATCCCAGTAACGGAAATAATGGAAGTAATGTCTATAGATAGAAAATTACTACTAGTACATCAGGATTTGATTATTTATACTGCATATGTATGTATAAATTTATGATAGTATGGAATTGTTATTGTCAACATTTATCTATTTATCACAGTGGGAATTGATTTCTCAGCGGATATGTCTGGGGAAAACAGTTTTTTGTGTATTGGGGATAAAAAGTTGTTCAAATTTTTATACATTAGGGTTGGACTTTTTAAGGTTTTAACGAAACTACAGGCGCACTTGTTGTTTCGAAATATCATACATATTTTCCGTTCTTTTCGTCCGTTTTATCTCATTTTAAGAACTGTTTACATGGTTAGGATTTCTCAGCGTAACATGGATTTATCTGCATGGAATTTATCTGAGCCTGGCTTTAACTGAAGTATTGTTGCTAAGAAACAATGGCTTATCATGAGCAAGTTCACGTGACATCGCGTGAAGTTCTCGTGTTCACTCGTGTGATTTCTTATTCGACATTAGCAATCAAATAGCAGCTGGGTTAGCTAACTTAGGGTAATGTACTCTTCGGATACTTTGCGGTCGCAAAGGGAGGGTAAGGCTCCAATCTTCGCAAATAGTATGCTCTGATTTGCATCTTTAATTAACATGTTTTGTGCATCAATTCTCTCTTGAGACTATTTATGCCTGATTATCTTTGCTGGTCAGCGGGCATTTTTTCAAATAACAGTTGAAAGAGCTAATAATATTATTTTTTGCTGACTAAGGCTCGAATTTCCCTAGCACTCTTCTTTAGAAATGATTCTTAAAATCTTTGAAAGGAGTTTAAGATTCATTTCTTTTTTATGAGATCCACGTTCATTGAAACCAGCGGCGGCTTCTCTGAAGTTTGGCTTTCTTCGTTGGAGTAAAAAAATCTAGTGCTAGAGGAAAGCTATCGTCCACAAGATGTGTGCTTCTCATTGTGATAATTCTCTTGGCATAGAAAAACGAATTAATGGTGGACGATATCCTGTATAGGGGTTTTTTCCCTGCAAATGTTTATGCATGAATAGAAAAGAAACGCTATTTTTATCATTAAAATTTTAGCTGTTGCGTACGATAGTTGTCTGTGTTGGTATTGTAAGCAAAAGGTTCATTCTTGGTCTGGTGAGTCAGCATCATCTGTTCTTGCTCTCCTGGGTAAAATTTTGTCCATGTTCCCATTTTGTTCCTCCGTATTGACATCGATTTCGCTCGTTGCAAAAGAAAAGCCTTTGAACATTATGACGTAGCTCCTTGAACGATAAAGACCTGGGCTCAGTTGTGCGAAGGTCGACCATTTGCTAACCCAGGGTTATGTTTTAATCCATGTTTCTTTATTTCTGTATTCATGAGTCTTTTTTTTTTTAATGATTTTCTCTGTTCTTTTTAGAATATCATACAATAATCAAATTGTAGACAAAAAGATCAAAATGAAGTTCCTATTAAAGCTTTCAGATCTGAAAGCTTTAATAGGAACTTCATTTTGATCTTTTGGTCTACAATTTGATTATTGTATGATATTCTAAGCAAACCCTGGGTTATTTTAACCCGGCCAGCTTTGAACAACACGGCCTAGAGTGATATTTCCCTTGGTGGTGCCACTGGTGGGGTGCGCAGACGCCGAGACAGAAACACTAAGATGGAAGAGGGGGTGGGTGTGCAGCCCTCTTATTGATCAAAACATGCCATTTGAGGCCTACCAGAATGGTTCGAAAAACCACGTCCGTGACGAACACGCCTTGACTCATCATCAACATTGTTTTGAAGGATAGTATGATTTCACCTCAGCCCTGAAGTCTCTCTCCTTTCCTTCCTTTGAACCGAGAGAGAGAGAGAGAGAGAGAACCTCCCTGTGATTATCACTACTTATGTCATAAACAATATCATCGTCAACATCATGATCGTTGTTGGTATCATTATCATTACTACACAGGGGAAAATTACATGGCCTCTAATTTCTCCTTACAAACTCACCCCTATGGCCACGAGAATCAAGGAAATGATCACCAACTAAAAAAGCTCTTGATTGTTAAACAAATTCTCCTTGTCAGCGCCTCAGGAAATGTTAAGAGACCAGTATGGAGAATATGCGTACTGATGTTAGAGTGTAAAAGGTTAAAAGGTAAAATTTTTCTACCACGATGATGGTTTACACTAAAGTGATTCCCTTGAAATTGATGGACTATCGATAATTTCTTTTTTTCCATCCCAGAAAATTTATGTATATGTTGATGGACCTTGCTTGCGGAGGAATGACTTCGTCCGATATCCTCGCAGGGGAAAGTTTTTATATTAAAAGATTCGTGAAATTTCGAAGGCCTTTGTACCGTGAAACTCCCAGCACAGCTCTTGTTCCCGAGCTCTAGAATTACACCTAAATATTGTGCAAATTGGTGCAAGAAATTGTAGATTTTTCAAAAGCTAATCCTCATGGCAAAAAGTAGAAAATTTCAAGTCGGTGTAACTCAAGCCAAGTAGGAAGGAAGAAGAAACGACAGTCCTGCGTAAAAAAATCTTCAAATTTGCTCACTTTCGCATGTCTGGGGTAATTACAATTCTTTAATCATACAAATGTCGGTTTTAAATTACAAATTTTACTAATTTTATCAATCTCGATTTGACAAATATATTTTCTTGAGACAATCAAAGCCTAACGGGTGGGGTGAAATCGTTTGTCAGATTACCAAATACAGTGGGTTGATCAAAGCGTTGATGTAAATTTTCCACGTAGTTTTAGTTAGCACTTTTGGATTCATTTCCAGCCTCCAGCTTGGAGATCTATACATTGGTGAAATCTTATCTTAACAACGAAGAAGGTTTCGTCTTAAGTTCTTTTTCAAGCGACTGATTTTTTCCCTAAATTCAAACTAACCAGAATGTGTTCTAGCTCCCACTGAAAAATCAATTTTCTATGGCAGTTTAAGGTATTTGTCTAGCTAAAACGTTGTTACAGAGTGCTTGGAGCAACTGCAGAACTTTCTGATCATTAAGTGTCACTACGGTGGCCTTGTATATCTTCTTTTTCTGCGAGGATCGATTCTATATTCATTTCTTCAACCGCAGTGTACACAAATGATTTTCATACGTTTACAGCCGATTATTCACCACTCCGAAGGTTTATTTGAATCCAACATAATGACCAGCTCTCGGTTGGCTTGTTAGCTCAGTTGGTAGAGCGCTACACCGGTATCGCAAAGATCATGGGTTCAAATCCCGTACGGGCCTGAATCTTTTTTCACGCTTTATTTCAACTACTAGTTCAGTAGTGTTTATAACTGCTAGGATCGATTGTTATATTCGTTTCTTCAACCGCAGTGCACACCTATGATTTCACATATTTTACAGCCATCACTCTTTTCCTGTGTTTGATTTGCAGTTTTACTTTCCTCCGGTTTGCTAAACTGTTTCAATATTTAAATTTGAAATCGGATGTGTATAGTTTGGACGTGTTCGGTAAATATCCTTGAAGTTGTTATCCACAAACGACCGGCGTTCTTGCGAAACTAAAAATGTAAACAACCAACTTGGATGTTTGTTCTTTTGCTAAATTTCTCTCAAATACGTCCTTTGTACTCAAAATGCGTTTTTATTTTCATTTGAGTTTGTTTGATAGTTCATTGTAAACATCAAATGGGTAGAAAGTTGACGGTACACAACTTAAGGGTTATGTGGAAATTACTATTTGCAGCAATACTTTCTGTAAATATTAAAGCTTAGTGTTATTTATTTTAAGTTTAGATAAGTCTTATAGGAGGTGAGTTTTGCTTTGACTGAGTAGTTCCAGTGGGTTCCGTGCTGTTAGATAAAGTATTCTAAAAGACTTCATCCCAAAGGTATGTTCACCTTTAATAACACTGATCCTTACCAAATTCACAGGGCTTTTAAAGTAATTTTGGTTTGTGATGAAGTAATCTGAATAATATGAAAGAACCTATTCACCTGGCATTGCCATAAATAGTTTGAAACCACACTTAAAGTTTCTTATACCTAAATATCTAAACGTAAGCATTCGCTTTTCAAAATTTTCCCCCGAGTGAATACAATAGAAACAAAGCGCCTGTTCTACAAATGCTTATCCTTTATTAAGAGATATCATAAGAAAATGGATGATTGTTACAATTCATTGATTGAGTTGAGGAAAAAAGTATCGTCACACTTGTTAAACAAAACAAGCTTAAGAGCAAAATATCCTCGGGTGTTAGCTTTTCAAAAGACCGGTTTTAATAATATTCAAACTACAGCAATAAAAAAGGAAAACAACTTGACTTTTTTCATTTATTTTGTTAGAATTTTCCCTGAGGCCAATCTCAATCCCTCGTAAACTATTAACAGAATACTGATTTAAATCGTCAGAGGGCTTGACAAACTAGGTAATTGAAAAATCTAATATTCGTCCGTAAGGTGAAAGAGTTTGAACGTACGTGTAATATTTTTTACTGTAAGAACGCTTTTATAATTTGAAAACGAAACTTTTAGCCATTTCTATAATTCACTTAATTTAAAAACAACTTAAGAATTACTCAACTCAACGGATTGAATAGACGTATTTACGACATCCACAAAATGTAATAGTTTTAATTCATGCTTTAAGTTTGAATTTTGATCTGCTAATTCTGCAAAATACTGGATAAACTCATCTTACAATGTTTTCATAGATGCACTTACTCGCCTAATAATTTCGAACAGTAAAGCGTATTTTCAAAAATTGGTTTTCTTTGGACTTACAGTGAAGTAAAGCTTCAAAAAAGTCAGAACATCAAGTTAAAACGTGGCCATGTTTCTATTTTATTGTAAGACTTTGGCCTGAGGTAAGACAGGAAAAAATTATATAAGTGACTGTGGTTTTAATGAAAGTAGCTGAAAACACTTTAAAAAAATAAATACTTTTTAGACTAATTATTTGATTGGTAAGAACTATGTCTGAGGTTAAAATGTCTTGGGGTAACTAATGTTTCTCCAAAGAAGCCAAATTTCGCTTAAAACTGCTTACAAACTCATTTCTGGGAAGAGGTTGTGAAACGAGTGTGGCTTAAAGTTGTTTTAAAAAATCTCTAGAACTCGAAGTCAAAATTCTACTTCATTTGGTCATCTTTAATGTAGGATTTTGCTTGAGGCAAAATGCTAAAACTCCTCAAATGAACAGCAAACGGATAACGATGTTAAATGAATCAATTACAACCACCCACGAAATAAAAAGATCTTAGAAATGTTAAGAAAGCAAGAGCTGTGAAACATCTGTTAACGCACAATTCATCGACCTTTTTTATACCCGAGACAATAAAGTTTACTTCCTACCTAGACGCGTTCTTTTACAAAATCGTACTGACTACATTCAAGACATATGGAGACGAAACTAAAGTCGCTTTGTTTTATAAATGTTCAATTAAAGGCTATATGACTGGAGGCAAATATAGTTACTCTTTCTAAAAGCCAGCGAAATCCTAAACAAAGTGGACAGTTAATCAATTTACTGTAAAATTAAGCCAAATGCTTCCGGGAGATAATTGATAGTTTGCTAAAAAAAGAGCGTTTGAAGTTTTTAGTGTTAAGTTGCGGTACGCTATTGAAAAAGTTTTTTCTTTTCTTTTGTTATCACAAGCCTGCATAAGAAAAAAATCCGGGATTTTGGTAGAGTAAGTGAAAAGTTTTTTAAAATTTTATTAAGATGAAAATTGTTAGCGGTAAAATGCTAAAAG